ATCACCACCACCAACATCACCACCACCACCACCACCACCACCACCACCACCACCACCACCACCACCGCACCACAACTACCACTATCAACATCCTCATTATCAACATCATCTCCATCATCATCATCTTCATCACCATCATTATTGTCGTTCTCGTATTCTTAGAGCATGTGTTTCAGAATCTCGATGACAAATGTAAAATTAAGCTTTTCATTTAAAAGAATGCTAGGAGGGTATGAAATCAGATTTAAAAAAAATACAAGATTCTTTTATTCTGGCCTGTAACGTATATGGAAGGCTTCTGCTTGTAGAAGCTTAAAATTCCTTTGACTTCATATGCAGTATTATTAGCCGTGGTATTGACAGGTTTAAACGGTTAGCCCCGGGTAATTCTCGTCTTTTTGCCCGACTGACTGAATGTCAACACTGAACTGGCTCAATTACACCAGGGACTTTCGCTGACCTAGATATCTTATGAGAGATTGAAGCCCCCCCCCCCCCACCATGCCTCCTAGTGTAAAGTGATGCGAGGTTCCTAGAAAGAAAATTACTACACAATCTCATTAGTCTCCTTCTCTCTCCCCACTCCTTCTCTCTCCTTCATTCTCACTCTCCCTCTCTCTTTCTCGTTCTCACTCTTTCTCTCCCCTCTCTGCCTCTCTCCCTCAGTCTATCTCTCTCTTTCTGTATCTACATATCTTCCTTCTTCTTCTTCTTCTTCTTCTTCTTCTTCTATTTATTATTTTCCTTCTACTCCACCTCCTCATTCTTCTTCTTCTTCTTCTCCTTCTTTTTTCTTCTTTGTTCTTCTTGGTTTTTCTTCTCCTTCTTTCTCTTTCTCTATCTCTCTATAAACTCCCGCTTTCTTCCTACACCCTCCTTTTTTCTCTCTCTTTCCCGCTCGATCTCTCTTCGTCCCATTTCCCCTATCCCCTTTCCTTCAATGCATTCCTTCCCCTTAATCCCCCCTCTTCCTCCTTTTCTTTATCTCTGTTGGGTTGCAATCTAGTCCTCATTCTTTTTCCTTCTTAACGATTGCCATGTTCAGACCCATCTGCCCCTTCTCCTTTCAATTCCTCACCCCCTACCTACCACTATCCCATTTCCTCTTTTCCTATCTGTTCATACATTTCCCTCTTTCCCATTCCAGTTGTCTCCACTTCACCTTTCTCTCTTGCCCCCCCCCCCCTCCCCCTATTTCTCCTTATTTTGTTATTTTCGTTCGACCCTCAGTCTCTCACCTCTCTACTGAGAGTGTTTTTCGTGAAGTTATCAAGCCAAAGGGCTGCCGAACAACCCAGTTTGCATACTGCTGTAGGTGTCAAGTGCGGGGTCAATAAAGCAAACGTACATCGGTGAAAGTCGTTAGCACTAGCAGCTTCCTCTGTTTACATCTTGCAACGGTTGTACGACAAATGCCCCTGCGACAATAATAGTTCGGCAGTCAGCTTCGAACTCGAACCGAATTTCTAACTTCAACCGTAAAACCGAAATCAAATCGAACCGCAAAACTTACCCTACCCTATAACCCTGTAGCAACCCTAACCTTAACCCTACATCTTAGGGGAAAGAAAGCCCGGATAACTTGTTGAGGGTGTATTTTGGGGTTCAAATGTGAAAGTGATGATGTCGTGAAGGTTTCCTAACACGATCACAGGGCCCCCTGGAAAACAGTACTGTGATTACTGACGCGGCTGCCCTGTTTAAATAAAACGGAATGAATATGAATAAATCATAAATGTTACCAAGATATTGAGTGTTTAACGAAAAAATGATTCCGTAAGGTTTCAAATAATACCATGAAAGTAACTACCTTTTAATTATATACTTATAAGCAGTGTTTGATAAATATCTAACCCAAACGAACAAAACGCTTGAAGTGGGAACGCTGATTTCTGCTAAGACAATTGTGGATAGCTATAATTAACTCGTTATTGGTGAGTATACAGCGATAAATCATAATGAATGCCTCAATTTCAAGCCGTCTTAAAATAATCATTGTATTAGTATGTTTTCTAACATACCATTGCAAAATAAATCAAGAGGTAAAGAATTAGATACATGTATACAACCTAAGGCCGAAGTAAAACATGAAATCCCCTTTCCTTGCACAGCTTCTACATCTTCGCAACCCGATCTCTGTCTCACTTACTAATAAAATCACCTCTTATACCAATCCAATCTAAACTCACGTAAAGCCAGCAAATTACCGAATAAAATACCCCGTACTAAAACATGACACAGTAATCTAGGGTAGATGGGAAAACATTCTCCGGCATTAAAGCGTAATTTGCCGCGGAGCTCAGCGGGCGGGGCAGACCGCGGGCGACCGCTGGCTCCTGCTACTGGCTTCGGAGAATTTAATCTTGAGAATAATGCTAACTCAGCCGAGAAATAAGAAAAGGAAAGAAGAAAAAAAAATCGGATCGTACCCATGAAGGGGTGAACATGAGGTCACGGTGAGTATGGTGGTCCTGCATGGTTATACTGTAAGAGAAGAAACATGAAGAAAGCAGGAATCTGATATTTGAAGAGCGTAGTGAAAATAGTTCTAAAACAGATGCATTTTGGAGATGAAGCGAGTGGAAGAAATGAAAAAGGAGAAGAAGGAAGCGTTGTAGAAAATCTTTCTTTAAGAAAAGAAGGACCGGTCACAAATATGGCAGGTCACAAATATTGAACATAAAGAGATAGAACTCTCAGAGAACGACTGATGAAGAAGAACAATGAAAGCAAAATATTTACAAGTTGGACATGATTCCTGAAAATCCTGTACGTGTCATGATTTGTATCAAAAGTTGAAACTATTCTATCAGTTGGGGAGTGACCCTCAGTAAAATCAAAATCTTAAATGTTGTTTAAAAATTACTAGATTTTAAATGAGGATGTGTTTTCCTTACACCAAAGACAATCAAAATGTCGTTTTGAAAGGTCACCAAACCTTGAATTAATAGTGCGTGGCCAATATGTTGGGCCGCCTGCAATAAATGGTGCAAAGGCGTAAAGCGAAACTCTGCAGTGCTATCTACACCCACCCCCATAAACACAAACAATATAATTATATGTTTCTTTTAACTGCAGACCAGTATCTAAAATAATATTTCGAGTATTGCTTATAGTGTTGCATCTGTATTTATATACTGGTGAGGAGAGGGTGGGGCAGAGGGAGGAGGGGAAGGGGGTAACTATCGATTTGTTGTTAGTTTGTTCATGTTGACTTTGTTTCCATTTTTGTATAGTTTCTCCAAGATATATCTGGGCAACAAGAAGAAGGACAACAATGAACACAGACATGAAGTTTTTAATTAGACATAACTATATGTATATATATATATGTATATATATATATATATATCAGCTATGTACATGTGGACGAATTCAGGACTTTGTTAGGGGAACACAATTTCTTTAAATATTGTAATTTCGATGGCAAATCTTTGTATTGCGTACTTACGGTACATGCGACTGGACTTTAAAGGGGGCACAGGCTGGTCGCGCCCCCGTCCCCTCTCCGCCGCTGTAAACGTGTTCTATTCCTGAAGTTTTAGCGGAAGAAACAAAAGGATCGTGGCAGTGTGAATATTCTCTTGAGAAGATTCTCTCTCTCCCGAGACACGTATGAGCAAGTCGTATTTATAGCCCGCAGTATGTATTGGGATGTTTAATTAACTCTTTCACTCTTGTGATTCCCTTTGAAGTGAGATCTATGTCATAGCAGCAGTAATGATGTGCTAATTGCACGGCCAGCCCCCCTTTTACCTGCCTCGGGGACGGTGACATTTGGATTGCATGCCGCTCACCCCATTCGGTATTAGCGTGGCTAAGATTGGAGTGAAGGGGGTGTTTCATTTACCCCTATACAGAGGCAGCTCAAGTGCACACTGCTAATTGATCAGTGACGGAAATTTATTAGAAGTGTAATAAAAAAAAAATTGTATTCAAATAAAAAAAAAGGATTATACACGTCTTTATACTATCACCATTACCACCCCACTACTACTACCACTATCATTACCATCACCAGCAACATCATCAGACACAGCTCTAACGCGAGTTCTACCATAATCACCATCACCACCACCATCAGTACCACCACCAACACCACCACCACCACTACCACTAGTACCATTAGCATCATCACCCACACCCCCTAGACCACCACCATCATCAAGGTCATAACGTCAGAAATAATATGTCATAAATACTCCGTTATAACTCATGAAAACGGTAAACATTTATCTACCTACCTATGTTCTGTCAATACTCTTTAGATATTTACTCCACAAACATCTATTATATCTACGACCTCACCCTCTCAACATTCAAAGACCTGACCACGCCATCTTGGGGACCTTGGAAAATGTCAAGACAGCGAGATGATGAGAATCTGTTAATCTCCCTATGAGTGATAAACCCCCGGGTGAGGACATGTGCGGGTTACTCCATGACGTCATGCGCAGATGGGTTGACGTCAAATGCGCAGACAGATATCAAATTAATGACTATGATCATCCAATGCTGTTGGTTTTGTTTAATGATTGATTGAAAGCTTCGGCTGTTTGAACTGTCGGACAGATAAGAAGTTGCGTCTGTCTCGAAAAGTTCTTGAGCACACTCATTAAGTAGCTTAATATAAAGGATAACATTCAAATTTATAGCTAACAGCCAGAGAGAAACGAATGAATAGGTCATGGAAAGTTTTGTTGTGGTTGTTTTGTTATAGCTATATAGCACATGTCATTAAATACATCATAGAAACTTGTGCTGGATTTTAGATGGTTTGTTTTTACCTGACTGCTATACACACAGAAAGCAAGTGTATTTGCTTGTAATTAAACAACCAAGGGAAGGACGACTTTAAGTCTTCTCCAAGGGACTTGGTAATGAGGATTAATACCTTACCAAAGGGCACTTTGTCTAGTGCACTGACTTGGTTTCGAACCCCGGGACCTCCCGGTTATGAGGCAACTGCTCTACCGCTAAGCCTTGGTGTCTCCATATGTAATCTTATACGATCCCTTTATAGACGTGCTAGTTATTTTATAACATGATATAGTGCTGATAATCGGCTTATGATTTTAATCCCATTTCTGAAGGCAGAGGCACCCGAGGTTGATTGACATTTAAGTGAGACCTTCCTATTTTGCGAAAAAATAGTTGAACTATCAACCATCAACTGTTGAAAATAGACTACACCTGTTGTAGGATAAGATTAAGCGATTAGATTCAAGAATGACAGAACTTTGATAATAACATCACACCTGTCTCATTCTCATCGTTTCATAAGTATACTTTGAAATTGTTTTTGTTTGGAGTAACCATATATGAGTTGAACATATCTTTGCATTTCTTATTCTGATTCGACGGAAGCTCAGATCGCTGTATCGTGAGTACAGATTCAATTTCATATCTAGTTGTTTTAATGTCCACAAATTAATGAGTCTTATTTATTCTGAAACAAAAGTCGTGATAGATTACAGAAATAACAGTGTGGCTGTTGATATTAATGGGTTTATTTTATGGTATATGCAGATGTAAAACTAATTATATAATCACAAAGATAACAAATAATCATGAATTCAAAGAGATAAAGCGCGAGGGCTAGAGAGAGAGAGAGAGGGGGGGGGGGGGGTGTGAGAGAAAGGAGGAGGAAAAAAGGAGCGAGGGAGCGACGGGGAGAAGAGAAAGCGAGAGAGGATGGGGGTTATTAGATCTAATGATAAAGCTGCTTTCTTACGGAGAAAGCAGTCCTTCATTTTACAAGCTCCATGTCTATCCTGTGTAGCCCCAGGGTGATACTATCAAATAATCACCGCTCTTTTACTGCGAGCCTGGTCACATTCAAGTCAACTCACTGCTGTGTTTCGATGTATAAGGAGAGGCCGAGTTCTGGTAAATATGGACCAAATAATTTGTAATCTTTCTCATTCTTATTTTTGTCAGTTTGGAAGAACGCCATCATAGAAATATCTGTTGAAAATGTTTGCTCTTCAAACGCCCTCAAAGTCACACAATAAATACGACGAAAAGTAGGTGAATAGTTTTTGCCAAACATTCATGCCACGTGCATGTGGAGCCCCATATACCCAATTCAGCGTGCAGTGCATTGTATTTTCAGTATATAAAATTCCTTTTCATTTTTGATAATTCTTAATCTCACCGTGTTCATTCATTTCGTGTAGGCCTCTACTACATAATCAACATTTCCCCAAAATTCTTCCAGACCGTTTTCTCACATTATAATATCATGGCCCGTACTCATTTTTTTGCCTCTATCTTTCTGCAGTTCTACCTTCATATGAGGCAACATTTGCTTCTGAAGAATTTGTTGGCCCCATTGCGCACATTTACATTATGTATGAGTATGTGTGAGTATTATAAGAGGGTCAGATGGCGGCCACGTCTAAATACTGCCCGGATGTTCTGTATTCTTATTACACGTACTTCAAACCTCATCGCGCAGACAGTGATCCATTCGAGATAACAATTGAGATGATATCGATATCGGAAGCGATTCAAGCTTAATGACCAACTATACCGCATTCTTTTATTATATCCGTTCAACGTTCAATTCAATTTGAAAAATGAAGGTGCTTTATTATTATCCGTGCTATACTTCTGTTAGAGTTAAACTTTGATTTAATTGATTGAAATAGATTTTTTTTACTTATACTTTGCCGTCAGAATGGATGTTTCCCAAAGTGGCTGACGCTGTTGACTCCTAAAAACCTTTTTCCTTCTCATACCCAATGCACAACTGATTAACCTTTCTTATCATTCGCGCTATTTTATCATTCGACCAACATGGAATAACCTGAATATCATCTGTGTAATAATCCTGAAAGGAAATGTGTAAGTGCAAATTAAGAAGTAAAGTAAAGAAGTCATTTCATGAAGATAAGGAACCTTGTTCAGCCCGCCTACGTTATAGATGTAATGTTGAAGATGTCAAGATTTGGCGGTTTCAAATCGGCAAGCCTAATAAAACTTAGTTTATCTAATAGTATGTTAACAAAATTAATTCACAAAGATCTATGTCTTCTCCAAACTTTAGTACTTAGTAGGCCTTTTCAAAAGTGGCTTTAATGAACTGTTGATGGCAAGCATATTATCTTGGGCCAAGGGCCAAATAGTCTACCTGCATATAGGGATCCTACATGATATGGCGCCAACCTACTATCACGGTTCTTTACTAGTAGAGTCTGTTTCCACGGCCGTCTCTTCTAGACCGTGTACATGGGCCTTCGGAGATCAAGTGGTGCTTAGCCCTATTGCGTGTTCAACTATCACAGGAGCAGTGAACATAACCATTGCATCTGTGACTCTTTAAAATAAATAGCTTTTAGATCATGTTAATATATGGAAATAATTATTCTCACATCTGCATGGTGTCGCCTTGAGAAACATAGGCCTATGCAGTGAATTCTATAACCCCTGTATATATAAATAGATGCAGAATATATAAATGAATTTATAGAGAGTTATATTTAACAAAGAGATAGCAAGAAGATAGAGAAAGCGGAGAGAGAGAGAGAGAGATGGAAAAATGGCAGAGTTTGTCATTTCAAATTTAAAACCACAATGAACTGAACTTCAATAACATTGACATATGACTCAAATGTCAGACAAGCCAAATTATAAGGGTTGAATTTTACGGGGGAGGGGGGGGGGGGCTTCTCTGTTTACACAAAACAGCCCCTGGATACGCCTTGGATACGCCACTTAGATGTCCGTATTGGAATGTATAGATTGTCACTTCACGTACTAAGTACGCCCCCACTCTCTGTCATATTTCAAGGTCTTTTATTATGACATTTCGTTTACAGTGTGTTTTCTCAATACATCGCCCTCAATTAGTGTAAGGGAGATTTATCACAGAAGAGTGGGCGCTTTTCAATGCCCTGGTTTAACAAAGAGCATACGAAGGGTACGGAATCACAGCACACTTACTTGATTCTTATGAATAGTGTTAATCGACTCTGAAAAAGAATGATTTTAAACCATTTGCCCGCCCCGCCCCCCCCCCCCCTCAAACTACATTTTTGTACAAACGTTGAGACCAAGTACACAACAGTTGCATTAACCAATGCCCTTCTCCAGCAACATGTTTAATATAAATAGAAGTTCTATTTTATAGGGATTTCCCCTTTTTCTACCCTTTTGGGGTCATTTACCAGGGGGATGGATGTGTGTGCGTGTGTGGGGTGGGGGGGGGGGGGGGCTTCTCTGAAGATGCCATGCGAATTGAACAGGCTATTGACGATGTTGATGATGTTGCTCATTGGGGGTTTGTAAGGTGGGTTCATATTATCATCTTTTCACCTTCCATCGTCTCTCTATTTTATTCTCTGGCTCACATTTTTTTAATTCTTCTCTTGCCATTTTTCTGCCATTTAATGGGAGGCAAATGCCCCCATACCCCTCGTGCTTCCAGGAAATTAATAGTATACAGGAATGGGGGAAGAACTGGGGAGGCCGGTCTAGCATTGTTGATTAGATCTCGCTCTGGTTATTCGGTTCCGGTGTTTGTTACCAGGATCGCATCTGCTTTGCATCACGATACATGCATGGTCTAAGGTTCCCCTTGGACCCACAGAGTGATGTCATCCTACATTACAGAAGATGAGACCATGATGTCATCCGGTAGATATGATGAGAGGAAGAGAGAGAGAGGAACGATGAAAGGCTATCGTAATGACGTCATAGAGGTCAGGGTGTCAAGTGAGCGCTGTGTGATCATCAGCGAGTACTGGGCCGCCATATCGTCGTAAAACCCCATATGCATTCCCGGGCCCCGTCTTAAAAAGAATAAGTGAAGACTGATTCGAATAGATCGCAGCACAATCTTAGTTTAATATTGACATTGTTCGAAAATTTTAACCTGATAAAACATTTGTGAAAATAGAAAATTGTAACTTTATTAGTGACTTGAGGGCTTCTGATAAAATCGCAAGTCTTTAAAACACGGGGCCCAGGTTTATTCCTTATTGTTTATCATGGACACCATGTCTCCCGTCAAAGTGGATCACAAACATTACCCATTGCCCTTGATCTTCCAGCATCAAACAGCCTCAAACATTAAACATCGAACAATATTGAAATTTAAAAACAAATAACTCTTTATTAGGGATTCAATAAATTGCTTGCATAATGA